TTTCGCAGATCAACGAGTACAAACTGAGACGTTTCCAAGCTTTAATTAGGTAATTTTCATGTTATTCGAAGATATCAAGGAGTCATCGGCGGTAATCAGTGCAAGTCGCGCCCAGGTCAAACCTCATACTTGTGACTTCCATTTGAAGAGCGCATTGAATTGTGGGAAAATCAATGTTTATCAACACAAATGCCGCACACGCGCAGCGTGACGACTACCGCGCTTTAACATCACTAATTAGCAATAATGTATTTTCAGGAATAGTAAGTCGAAACGCTGATCATGTGTGGAAGGAGCGTCGTACTTTTATAGGTACGCAATTACGTGACTTTACCAAGAGATCTTTAGAGGCAACGATTCATGAAGAAGCTGAGATGTTGTGTGAGGCACTTGGAGCCACCAATTGCAAGCCTGTTGACTGTAGCCATCTTCTGCGGTACGCCATCATGAATGTTATAAGCATTTTTCTATTTGGGGAAAGATGGGAGTATAGTGACACAACATTTAAGAAAGTGTTAGAAGAGAACGATGGGTTTGTCTCTTATCTGAAATATAATATAGCAGCTAACGTTATACCCTTCCTCTGGCACATTCCTTATGGCATACCGAAATTAATGAAGTCTGATTACGCTAAACTGCACGACTACTTCAGGAAGCAAACTAGAGCACGTGAAGACAACGTGGATTTGAACGACCCCCGAGATTATACAGAAGCGTTAATCGGATAAGAGTTTCGCAATCATGGGGTTAGACAGTCATCGACCTTCAAAGAATTGAAAAATGTCAAGGAAACAGCTACATCTTCTGTTAGCGAGTTATTCCGAACTGCTACAGATCCTACCTATACTGCACTTCGATGGGCGTTTGTGTTTATCGTTAAACATCCAGAAATTCAAGAGCAAATACACAACGAAATCGTTGATGTCATTGGTACAAGTCGCAGAGCAACCATTAATGACTATGACAGTATGCCATTCACCCAGGCAGCAATAATGGAGGCCATGAGAATGGTAGCGCCATTGTCCCTCGCTGCTCCACACAGTAATACAAAGGATTGTAAAATCGGAGGCTATGATATTCCTAAAGATAGCTATGTTCTCCCAAATTTTCACTCTGTTCACATGGATCCAGAATTCTGGGAAAATCCTGAAAAGTACGACCCAAGTCGTTTTATTGGTCCTGATGGAAAGCTGATAAACAAGGTTGCCTTCATGGCATTTGGTAGAGGTGAGATATACACGACTGAATTCAATGACACTAATTCTA